GCTGGCCAGGTCCACATTGGTCCTGGTCTGCCCCGTCGTCAGTCGTGAAGTGAGTGCTTGTTTGTTCTGTCTCTCCAGAGTTGAAGACACGTTGTGTGTGTTTGTGTACGTCATGCAAGGCGCTGGCGACATAGACCGTTCGTGCAGCTCCACGGCAGACGTAAGCATCATGGACTGTTTGTTCTATAGTGGAGGCAGTCATCGCCCCGTACGTATTTCATAGTATAGTAAAGTGCAGACCGCTTTAAGGCGATGTAAAATGTGACCAATTTTCTTTTGTAAAACACGATTTCAAATTCCTATGAAATTTTTCTTGTTTGAATTCTTATCTGGATAAAAAAAAAGCATTTCTGATCAGAAGAACAATTTTGTGGGTTCCCGGTGAGTTCTCCTTTTCCGCTCTATCCTGTTTTGTGTGTCGGCGTCTGTGGCTTAGGCGTTGAGAATCTCGCTTCGTAATGCCGAGGTGCCGGATTCGAACCCAGCGGACTCTACCCCTTGCGTTGGCTTCGACAGTGGTATCGAGAAACCGACTGTTCAGTAGGCAATGGCAAATTACTGGACGTAAATTTGCCTAGAAAAACCGCAACAGCCAAAACATGCTGGGATATAATTTGCGATCCAGTGCGCGCTTGCTACAATTAGCTATTGTCATGCAATAGTCGTAGGCGAAGAGTGTTTTTAATGTTGTCGATTCATGTTTTCTGCGGCCGTCCATTTGCAGCTGATCATCTGAGTTGTTGTGATCGATCCAGCGGCGTATGAGCTTTCGCCCTTTGGCTCAATGCCATGTAGTGGAATTTACATGTTTTCACAAGCTGTTCTTTTCCTCCGTACAAGGTGTTCCACTTGTCTGGTCTCGGAGGGAGTAGCATTCTTCTAGTCTGGGCACTCAAAGAAATGGTGCTCAACAATTTCGTACTGGTAGTTACATAGCTGGCACTCTGGGGAGTGTTGTGGCGGTATTCTGTTTAGATGTCCACTGAGTGGAGAATGTGGTGTTCTGAGTCTGAAGATGGTGGCCTGGTCCCTTCTTGTTAGATGGGTAATGCTGTCATTGGGATCAGGGCCAGCCATATTTCTATAAAGCTCTCTTTCAGTGTCTTCCATTGCCCATCTGTTCAACCAAGTCCCTTTGTTTATAGCTCTTATAAGTGTTTTTGCTGTCTGTAGGTTTGTCGCTGTAGGTGGTTGTTCTTGTGTTTCTCCTTTCTTTGCCAGTCTGTCAGCTCTGTTATTACCTGGTGTGCCAGAGTGGCCTGGAATCCACTGTATCACTATTCTTGTGATATATTAGGTAATGAGATGATCAGCGTCTAGAATGACCTTGGCTATGTCAGTTCTGCAGCGTTCACAGCCCGCCGGAGCGTGAAGGGCAGACATTGAATCTGTGAAGATGACAATATTTTGGACCTTTGAAGGGTAAACATCCATTACAGTCTTTAGGTGGTATACTGCAGTTTCCAGTGCAATTATTTCGGCTTAATAATTTGAGCAGAATTCCCCGCATGCATCAGAAATCTCTTCAACAGATCTACTGGGATAACCTATGTAGATTCCGTAACCTTCTTTAATCTTCTAAGATGTATTTTTGTGTGATGGTATTTGATCTAGCTGCATTCTAACGAGAGGGCCAAACCACTTTGATCTGCTGTTTCTCGATGAATCTATTACAAAGTGTCGTTTCACAATTTGTCTAATAGTATCATTATTCACTCGATCTCAGATGGTTAGTTTGGCGGCTTTTCTCGGGCATCTTATCTGGCAACTGGTGATTTTGGGTATGTGGGATTTGGATATTGTCCATTTTTGGCTTTTGTAACTTAGCGTTGGAATGAATATGCTGTTTATGATCTGTCTTTTTGCACTCATAGTTACGTTTGGATGTCTTAATATTGGTGATAATTAATATGTAAGTGCACTTGCTTTCTGACATCTGGTTTCTATTTGCTGGTTTCTACGTGTGTATAATTGGTAGATATTCCTGTTGATAAGTCCTCTAAATACAAATCAGTTTACTCATGTTGCGGTCAGTTGTATCGAAAGAGTTAAACAAACTCTTGTATGTGTACATTAAAGTGCGACATTCCTATTTATAAGTCCTCTAAGTTCAAATCAGTTAACATATCTTAGCCAGAACTGCTTTCGCTGCATGATTTGATGAACCCAAAGAAAATATTGTGAATCATCTACAACATCAGACCCAATTATAACCACTTATAATGATAATTCGTGTTGTTATCTTTTGTGTATTATTGTTGTTGTTCACATATAGAAATAGTGTGCTTGAATAGGTCAGTTCCTGCTTGTTCTATTTCCGTTTCGCCCTGTGTAATAGTGCACAAAAGCTACATTTTGTTCATTATGGAAATCACATTTTCGCACTAGTTATACGCTAGCCTGTCCATCTGACGGTCTAGGTTTCAAGTCTGCATCAGAACGAATACCACCCCCTCCCCCTTTTTCCAAATTTGTCCTAGCTCTCAGGTCTGGTTGTTCATCCACTTTGGACTGCATTCCTGTTCCAGAACCTCAGTGTTGGGTGTGCATCCGTTTTACAGATCTGACTCATTTGTATGCAGACTGCTGGTTACTTGCCTCTCAGGCAGATGCACTCCGACTTCGAAAGAAGTCTTACGACATGCTTTTGTGTAGGGAGTGGGTCTGTTCTTGTTTTACCTAAAATAGGCCCCCGAACCCACACTGATAAATGCCAGGCCTGTTCGTGTTACTTGAATAGACTAGGTTACAGTTGGCTGCATTTTTCAGCTAGTTTTCTAGATAACCTGTCTCTCCGACAGTAAGACCTAAAAAAAAAAAAAAAACACACCCGCACGCACGCACGCACGCACGCACGCACACACGCGCGCACACACAGATTTTTTAGAATGCACTAAACATAAGCCCTACCCTAACATTTCTTCTTCTGCCTTCTAACCCGTCGTGAGCAAAGACCCTCGGCCAACTTACGCCAGGTCGTTCTATACTTCGCTATTGCATGCAGCTCTCCCCGTATTCTCCTCATCTTTCTAACTTCTCTGGCTTCCTTTTCCATGTGTTTTTTTAGGTCTTCTTCTATTTTTATGCCCCTGTGGATTCCAGTGCAAAGACATTATAGTTATATTGTTCTCAGGTTTTCTCTCTCTCAAAAACTGTTTCCTATCTAACGCCAGCATGTTTTATTCACCTCTTGGTCCACTTGAACTTGTTTAGTACTCTCCTAAAGCCCCACATTAGTGATTTTTATCATACTTTAATTTCCTCTGTTATGAGCAGGCACCAATAGTTAATGAATGTTTGCAGTTTATTAGTAATTGCCTTAGTTGTTCTCCATGTTTCCGCCCCATACAGCAGTACTGATTTGACATTACAATTATGTTTGTTCAACGGATCAACATCATGGCACACGGATGTAACCCATAAGTGCTCCGTTCTTCTTAGTCAAGTTTGAGCCTGAAGAATCTCATCGCAGTGCACGAACTCTGTAGCACCCGCGAGGATCCTGAAATTCTTTAGGTAGATTTTTAGCTCCAAATTTTGCCCGAGCAGCGCCGTTAGGCTAATCTTTTCGATTTCCAACTGCATAGGGATTTTTTACGTGTGCAACAATACACACAGGCGTCCGGTCCTGCTGCCCAATAACATTAGAATTAAAAACAACAAATTAAACACACGCAAATACACACACGCACGCAAATGATATTCCAGGATGCACATAATATAGGCCCTACCACAAATGGAACCCTAGTTGAGATTGTTAGCCAGAACGGACGGATTTCGGTTTTTGAAACAGACGGATTTTGAAACATACGATGGACGCATTGACTATAAACCAGTTCCTGTTTTGTCTTCGCCCATAGAAGAGCTGTTGTCAGTTGTGGTTTACAGCCGGGCGGTGATATCTGCGCTTTTCGGTACGTCCAGTTTCAGCAAGATCTAATCAGCCACCTTTTACAGCATGCTTGTTAAGAGCAGTGGGTCTACCTACACCCTCTTCCGCCCCCCTCCCCCCACAAAAGAATGGGCCCTCGGAACACGTGCGAGGAGTTTTATAAAGAATGTGTGCATAAATGTATAGATTTTTTTTAAAGTATCCAGAAGCCATGAGTTGTTAATGTTAACCCTTAGGCTCGGTATTATGGATATCCCAACCCTTCGACCTTGATTCCAAGATAAATACCGTAAATCTGGGACAAATGTGGCTTTTCTGCCTACCCCCGGACGTGAACCACAAAGAATTCGTCACCCGGTCACCGCGACGTCCCTTAATTGACAGGAATGCTTTACATATTTGATAATATGAATGTAAATTTGTGTACTTACAGAATAAGACTTCTCCTATAAATAAAGCTATTGTAGAAATAAAAATCTTCTTTATGTTCACCGGCTGTAAACGCCAGCAGAAAGATCTTGTTCTTCCACTTCTGGACTTTTAGTCTTGTCCCAGAACTTGAGTTTTGTGTGCACATCCGTTTTACATATCTAGCTTATATGCATGCAGACTGTTGATCCATCACCTCTCAGGCAGATGCACTCCAGGTTCAAAGAAAATCCTTAATTAGTCAACTCCTGCGACATCCTGAGAAGAAACGAGCAGAGAATTGCCAGACAGGCACTAAAAGGGAAGCGAGGACGTCCAAAAGAGACCCTAAAAAAAAAAAAAAAACTTTGGTGAGACAGGTCAGATGGGCAGGACTGGTTTCCATCCATGATTTCGAAGAAACTGCACAGAATAGAGTGGAATGAAGCAGTATACTATGTGACGAACAAAGATTCAACAGGACAATAGTGGTTATGAAAAACGATCCAGTTTGTATCCAACACACTGCATTAAAAGGGGAAAAAAAAAAAAAAAAAAGACATTTGTATCGCTGCATGTACCACACATACTTTAGTTTAATAGACCTTAAATGAAGGCAGAAAAACGGGTTTACCGCACTTTATTCAGCTTTAATTGTAATCTTGAATAACAATTTGTGGTTTACCCTTTGTGTCTTCAGCAAACTCCTTCAGAGGGAACCAGCTTCATTGCCTTCACCATCATCATTGTCATCCGACCCGGCATCGAGTGAAGACGCCATGATGGATGACATAGTAGATTCGCAGCAGCAGAGCTGCTTCACTGCCAAAAACAGCTGCAGTGAGAGCGGCGTTAGCTGCAATGCCACCAACAGCTCTACAAATGGTTCCGTCTGTTCGGACGTGGACGAGAACGGGCACCTCAGCCCAGAACCGTATGAACATATCGACAGCAACATCAACAATAACATCAACAACAATAACAACAACAACAATAATAGCAACAGCAACGGGATAATATCAGAACAGGAGGTGGAGAGTCACCCTCAGCACAGTACCAATGGATTACCATCCGATGCCTCTTCTCCGGTATCCGGTCCACCAAGTCCCCCTTTGTGCCAGGTACCCCCACACCGGCTTTCTTCCCCAGACCACAGTCACCTCAACAACAGCGGGCACTACCATCAGCATTTCGGGCCCGGGCTGGGCCCCGGTTACTACCTGTCCACCAGCACACACAGTTTGGGATACGGCTGCATGACCACCTCGCCCAGCAGCTGCGCTTCACCGCCGGGCAGCTACCCTAGCTCCAACGCCAGTCACTCGGGAGGATCCGGTACGCATTCCAGAGGAGACAGCCCCGGCGAAGGAGATGGTCCACCTCCTATAGGAGGCCAGCATGTGGTCCATGTTCACGTGAACCCAGGAGAGACGTTCTCAGTGAGGCTGGGTGACCAGATACAACACATACAGGGTAAGTACATTTCCCCTCTTCTAATTTTATGCCGTGCCTGTTTTGCCCAAATCCTATATTGGGTATTGTCACATCTTTACTCATAACCAAGAGAATATTTTTTTCAGGTTAGAAAGAGTGCTGTTCTTCATTCTTCTTATTGATTGGTCCTATTTACATCTTCTTCTTCTTTAAGTCTATGCCATGCGGCGTTGGTAGTCATGTCTGTCCACAGCCTCCTGTCTCATGTTCTTTCAGTCGAATATGACACAGATGATCTGTGCCATGACGTCAAATTATCCAAAAAAAATTTTTCTCTGTCTCCCTCTGCTTCTCATCCCCTCCAGCTTTCCCACTGTCACGATGTACTCAAGTTTTCTCCTTCTCACCACATCACCAAAGAATAAAGACTGTCTCTTTCTGATGTGGGCAATCAGTTCTCTTCGTGGATCAGTTTCTTTTAAAACAAGTTCAGTAATTTTATTTTTAATCTGTCCAGCGTATTTTCATTACTTGTCTATAAAACATCTCTATGGCTTCAAAATTTTTTAAAGACTATGTAGTTTTAGCTAATCCACCAGCGTACACACATAGACTGTATGTAGTCTTAGCAAATCCAACATCGTACACACACAGACTGTAGTCTTAGCAAATCCAACAGCGTACACACACAGACTGTAGTCTTAGCAAATCCAACAGCGTACACACACAGACTGTTGTCTTAGCAAATCCAACAGCGTACACACACAGACTGTAGCCTTAGCATATCTAACAGCGTACACACACAGACTGTAGCCTTAGCAGATCCAACAGCGTACACACACAGACTGTGTGTAGTCTTAGCAAATCCAACAGCGTACACACACAGACTGTTGTCTTAGCAAATCCAACAGCGTACACACACAGACTGTTGTCTTAGCAAATCCAACAGCGTACACACACAGACTGTAGCCTTAGCAAATCCAACAGCGTACACACACAGACTGTAGCCGTAGCAGATCCAACAGCGTACACACGCTTAAATATGTAAGGCAGTTGACAGAAGTGCCAGCACAAACATTGCCCTAGAAATGGGGTGCCTTTCGATCAAACATATCACTAAACACAGTTGGTCTGTTTAGCAATTCCATGAACATGTCGGACAATCTGTTCTTAAGAGATATATGAAGCCAGTTCTATTGTATAGAAGTGAATCCCTGACAAAAAGCAGTTTCCTGAGATAATATGTCAGGGCTAAAGAGATGTGGCTTCATAAAAGAATGATGAAAACGCCATTGGTAACTGAATAGCGTAGTGAAGATGCCTTAAAAATATTAATATACACATAAAAATTAATAGGTGCATTAGAAAGAGTTTGGAGGCAACTGAGATGCGATTCTTAAAAAGAATGTTGCGAAAACCTTGGACTGCCAGAAAAACTAATAAAGATAGCCCTGAAATGGGCAATGAATGTAGAACTTTAAATACAAAAAAAAAAAAAAAAAAAAAAGAGAGAGAGAGAGAGAGAGAGAGAGAGAGAGAGAGAGAGAGAGAGAGAGAGAGAGAGAGAGAGAGAGAGAGAGAGAGAGAGAGAGAGAGAGAAGGAGACAAAGTTCTTTGGTCATGTAATGAGAAATGGAGCACTGGAAAATATCGTGACGACTGGAAAGATCGCTAGCAGAAGAGACAGACCAAGAATTCGGTGGAATGGATCCAGAACACCAAAGACCAAGATCTGTGAAGATGCACAAACGCCTACGCCAGCTGGCAAGGCACTTGCTGATGATGAATATGATGATGATGAGAATGCAATCCATATTCGGTAGATATAATCGATGTCGAACCCTATGGGGGTTGGGGGAGGAGAGGCCAGCTACCCAGCACTCCCAAAAACTTAGGGGCGGGGGGGGGGGGGTGGTGGGAAGAGGGACTGTAAGGTTCTCACTATAAAATTTGTAAATTGACTAAACATATCCCCTCCCCTAATGCTTTTGTGAAGCCAAATCCCGCCCCCCTCCCCCGTGTTTTAACAGGGCAACTTGTACTTTTAGCAGTTTGATATTAAATTCTCGACCATACAACCCTGAGTTTATTTATTTACTTACAACCCGGAAAGGCCAGCGCGGATAACAAATTCACAAGAAGTAATACGTATCGGCAGAAAGGACCAAATATCCCTGCTGTCTGCTGTAATTATACAACATTGACACCATTGTTGAAATCGGCACAGAGTAGACTCATACCATATCACATGCGGCCGACGTCGAATCCTTTTTATGTCGGCTTTATGAAACTGTGTCCACGACTCATACGACAGACGCCGACGTATGGTGGTGTTGAAGATAACTAGGAATTGACTGCTGCAGTATCCTGCTCTTGCTCGGTGTGTCTCCCAACACACCAGTCCTCATCCATCCCCCAACCTTGTGTGTGTGTGTGTGTGTGTGTGTGTGTGTGTGTGTGTGTGTGTGTGTGTGTGTGTGTGTGTGTGTGTGTGTGCGTACGCGCGCGCACACACCATGAATGCCGATGTATTGACTCAGCCAGAGATGAATGCAGCAGACACGCTCATGTTTACAAACCGTCGCATCATCTGAGCATTGGCGTTTGAGAAATGACAGAGCATCTGCGCATTTGGGATTCACAATAAGCATGATTTTAAACATTACATTCAGAAAAATGAAGCTTATCGGACATGACGCGCCACGTTGCAGAATATTGATAGACGAATATGGTAATTAGTTGAAAGAAATCAAATTAACTCATAAGCTAAAAAAAAAAATCAAGTAAACTGATGAACTCAGTCTTGAGTCACTTTCCCAGACTGGCGTTAATTCTTTTTCTTCTTCTTTTTTTTTTTTTTTTTTTAGGGAGTTTCTTCTTTGAATAATTTTAGATCTAAAGAACGGTAAAGGTAAAGGAAGATAAGAGGATCGACTTCATTGCACCAGGTTTTATTCAATATGGCCCAGTCTCTCTCCGCAGTACAGCTAGCCGCCTCCCGAAAGCGTCGCACAGAGCACGACTATGAAGCTCTGGCGACGATCCCCAGGGATCTCCGTAAAAATTACACTCGTAAACTGAACGGCGCCGCCGTGAAACGAACTCACGACCTTCGGAGCGCGAGGCACACGACTTGACAACTTCGCCACGGATACCCCTTTGAACGCTGTGGGAAAGACATGGTTAAAGTAAATTTGAAGTTTACTAACGTAGAGCACAATAAGGTTGTATAGCACTCTTAAAATAAGAGTCATTTGTATTAATAAAAACTAACAAAGCAATGTGAATTGATTGATGTCTGATGCGTGACTTTTGAAGAGAAAAAATAAAGTGGTTGGGGGGGGGGGGGGGGGGTGGAGGGATTCATTTCCTTTAATAGTATGTTGCCGGACCAAATCCAGCATTTTGTTTGTTGTTTGTGATTTCACTAGGCAGTGTTACGTTCATTATTTTGCCATTCAGCGGTCGGTTCTCCATACCACTGTGGAAACTATCGCAAAGGGGTGTGCTGCTAATTCGCCCGCTGCTGTAATCGAACCCGGCAGTTACCAGATTGGGTTGAGCTGTACCAGCTCCTGTACACTGTAATGCCGATTTCTACCCTCTGATTTTCATCTGTTAGCTCCACTTCAAGATGCACTCAGTGCGACACTGGTTTAAAGATTATAAAGGATTGGCAGCGAAGAAATGGCTTCATGATTAGGACACAATCTGATTTGCGCTGGGAATGCAGATTATCATCCCGTAACACTACGTGTCGTTGGGTCACCAGTTTCTGATCAGCTAGCTCTCTTCACCTTTGGCGGTCAGTTGCGAGAGACTTCATGGTTGCATGCCTGAGGCCTGTCCAGTCAGTCAGGTTCTGTAACCAGGTCTTTGTTGGTCTGCCTCTTCTCCTCTTTCCCTCTACTGAGCCCTGCAGTATTGTTTTTGAGAGGCTGTTAGATCTTATTAACTGTCCATACCATTGCATAGTTAAAAGAGTTTCATTGTTGCCAGTGTGCTGTATAATTTTATGGCGAACATCTTCGTTTGTAATGTAGTCTGTGAATGATATGCCAAGAATTTTTCTGAAACATCGCATTTCTAGTGATTGTATCTTTCTGTCATTCAGCTGCTAAGGTCCACGTTTTACAGCCATGTGTAAATGTTTCACACTGGCGTAAAACGGTACAAGCTGATGAGGATTATGTTGAATAATACCAATGTTTACCTGACATTTCCGTCTATGCATGAATTTCGTAATTTTTAAATAAACAGATCCCGAGAACACAGTGTCTTGGATTACTTTCTGAACTCATCTTGATGAAGAAATGTTTTCAAAAGATCGTCTTCAAAATTTGCGTCCTCTGCAGAATTGATTGAGTCCCGCTTGCAATCGTTACACTGGTTGTCTGCCCAGGAGACTCCTTAGGGAGTTGGGAAGTGTAGTTGATGTAAACCCATATCCACGACAGATCGCACGTCTGCATCCGGTAATCACGGCATAGAAGAGTAGGAATTAGCGTAGACATTGGACACCAGAAGAATTGCAGCTAGTTCAAAAAAGGAAAACTACTCTTTCCAGGTCATTGGCGCATCGGACAGATGGAGCTTCATCAGTATTTTGTAGACTAAACGGCACTGGATGTGTGATGGGATCAACATCAACCGGCCGTGTTTACTTTCAAGGACATATCTAATGCAGTGAACCTTATGACTGGGAATGCCGAAAAAGAGGGCAATTTAGGAAACCTAAGCACACTTTCAGTCATGCCGTTCCGAGAGCGACGCTCCGTAACGAACCTGTGGATTGACTAGGCACAAGGTATCACCAGAAAACAGACCAGAGTAGATATTTTATCATTGTAAACTTATGCTTCTTGAACTCATTACTCTCCCTTATGGAATAATTCGAGCAGAACTATTTGACTTCCCTCAGCCACGTCTCTGTCACAGTACAGCTCATCTCGCACAGATTTCTGCGCTGAGCGAAATTTTCGGAGCATCTTTCCGGTCATTGTAGACTTCAGTGAAGCTGTCCTTCTATGTCTTCTAGG